TGTGACAACAACAACAATAATAGTAATAATAATAAATCATTCCTATTGGTATGTTAGCCATGTGAATAATTTCAGCATTGCTTGCTAAAATGTCCATCTTTAAAAACTATATTTATACGTCTAACTCCAGGTGTTTCACTGTATTTCCTTTACTGCATATGTGAAAAAAAGTTGTATAAATAGTGTTGTGGTAACCCTTAAACCCATGTTTTAGTACAAACACTACTCCTCTGAACCAGGCAAGTTTTGTGGTCAAAAAGTCAAGAATAACAGTTTTAACAGCTGAATGCGGAGGCTATCCCACTGCTTCATCTTAATATAGTTCCAAGCTGCAGTCATTTGTGGTCCTTCACTGCTAATAGCATCCCCTTAAATGAGCTCCCATTTCCTCATCTCATCTGAGCCCAGCGTGACCCACAGATAGGCCCTTGTAAATTCTCCCCCCATCTGGCTCCTTTTAAGTCTATGTCAGACTGTCCATAATCGCTCTGTCAAAATGGCATCCCGTCACCACCGCTTGTTAGGAGGTAGCGCAGAGCAGGAGGCTGAGACATACCAGAGCTGGAGCAGTCTATCGAGCCTGCCAGCCCCCTTCATGTAACATGAGGAAATGAGTTTGTGTCAGGACTATTTTGGTGTTGCTTTGAAGTCTTATTTTACCCTCTTTGCCTCCAGGGGGACAGCACAGAAAGCGAAGGGGGGAGGCCTGGTGGTACAATGTGGGGGAAATCTGTCGAAATGCCCCGATAACCCAAAAGGCATCATGGTTGCGATCTCATGCCTGGGTGGTCAAAGCACATAGAAATGCAACACCAGCCACATCTGATATGTATGTCACTGTGTCACATACTGCATGGGCATGTTTTTGTGGTAGGAGTTTGCCTTTTTATGTAAGCTGTGGTGCTCTTTTTTTCTGCATGCATAAACATGTCCTTAGGAAAGAGTTTCATTATCCCAAGGCCTTTATTACTCACTGTTTTATTTATGTATTGTCAATTTCTGAGTCAATTGTAATTCTTTTATAACCTCAAGCATAGAGTGGTGTATGTAGTCGTGTACAAGAATATAAGACTTTAGTATTCAGTACAAAGTCGCTGTTCAAATATATTCTCTGTTTTATGTGACTGCTGTTCCACAAACACCTAAAAACAAAATTACAGAAAAATGGAAAAAAATGAACAGACACATCACAATCCCTCTACTGAAAGAGACATGTTGTTATTATCATATTGTACAAATTCATAGATCAATAGTCAGCAGAGGGTCTGTCGATATGAGCCAGGAGCGACGGACTCCTCAGCGGACGGTTGGGGGAGGGGATTATTCCCCGAGACCAAATAATGATTTTTATTCACTCACAGGCAAACACAAATATGAAAACACACTAGGGACACTCTTAAAAATTGCTTAACATACTGAGGAGTAATACACTGAAAATGTTAAATAAATGGCCAGTCAGCAGCACCTTGACCATGAACACAGGTTGTCAGGTCAGCGAAGGGGGCCCATCTCGTATCAAACCCCCCCATTTGCTTCTTTAGAATCAGCAGTAACAACAGTGAGGAAGTGCAAAACAATATTGTCAACACAACCCGAATTCACACATGTGCGCATGCACACACTCTGCCACACACTGCACATAGAGTCCTTGGTGAAGATGGTGTCTGCTTCCCACCCCCTGTTGCGTCCGGAGCAATGTTCCTGGAGAGGGGACAGCGAGAGGGGCATCCCGCAGTGCTGTTTGGGCGTCCTTGCCAGCGCCAGACAACTTCACTATCCCTGCCCTAGCAGGGGGCGATAATCACATCAAGCTCTCCTGACAAGAGGCATTGAATTCAGCTTCGGTCCACTTAAGAGTCTGGCATCCAGCAGTCTCTCCTCAACATGCTGCTGACGTTACAATGAGAAGGTTTGTGTTTTCATTTTTTTCACTCTGCAGCATCGCAGATCTTTTTTTCCTTCCTCTTTTTTTTGTCGCTACCTCTGAAATGTGTTTGGGAGTCCGTGTCACCGGGGCGAAAATCTGAATTGGCAGAATCAAGTGTTACCGCCATTGGACTGTGGAAATTGCTATTGTATTGGTGCCTTCTGTTTTGTCATGGGGAATTCCATACAATAAGTAGTCTGTCCTGAGGAATATTTGTTTAAAGTTTGGTGGAAGATGTATCGCTTTTTATGGATATCATTTGGAAGTTCTTTAGGTTATATCCTTCAATAGTTACAATTGAAATTGTCAAAGCATGTCAGTGACTTTACACACAATAAAAGGCTGAAGACTGACTCATTACCATTACGCTGACAGACGTTTACACTCAGGGTCTAACCCATGCTGGGCGGTGGTCAGAAAAAAAAGAATGCTATCACTTTAAGAGATCCATGTATTCTCCCAAACCACGCTCGATCAATTTTTGCCGGCTCCTCTGGTTAGCTGCAGTATTATGATTTTTTCTTTCAGTTGTCAGCTTTTCCTTTTCAATACTCATGCTTTCTTGTTACTGTATTGTTCACAAATGTTGTTGATGGGTATCTGGTAATATGATTTGCCCCTTCAGGGTTTGTCAGAGGTGTTGTTTACGTTTTGTGAATACCCGATACTCGTCTCATATGGCTATTTCTGGAAAATGATGTCCATTCATCAAAAGATTTAAAATAACAGGGATTGAGAAGGGGCATCTTTTCCAATCCACCAAAACAGATGAGAACTGCACTGGACTCTTTTAAGCAGCTTTGTGGGCCCGCAGAGCTCCTCTGCTACCCAGGGAGTCCGGCTTCCAGCAGCTATTCTCTATTCATCACCTGCTTTCAATGGCCACCATCAAGCTGCCTCCAGCTAGAAGGCCAGGTAGGGTGCCGGGTGGCGCACAATGTTTGGGGATTAGTAATCAAAAGAGTGTGGAGGCTGGGACCCTCCGTCCCAGCCTGCCATTCACTCTTAGGAGAGCTCCAGCAGCGGCCAAGGTCATCGTCTTCAGCTCGGCAGGAGGTAACTGGGAAAGAACCCTGGGAACCAGCCGCCTGCTCTGTGCTAATCGCAGGCTAGCAGGCTAGCAGCACAGCAGGTGTCTCATCGTGGATAGCTTGGCTGACAACGAGATAATGCCTTTGTTTACTTTCCTCTCACTTTCCCTCCTTTCTGTCTTTTGTGGATCTCTTTTGCTCAGTTTTGTGGGATTTCTGTCTTTGAACTAAACTGTATGCTGACTTAGCAGAATGTGAAACTGGTACAATGGTCCCCTGACTGTAGAATAAGTTGTCCTTAATGGGAAGGCTGAGAAGAGGTGGAGTGCAATGACAAAGGCCATTTGAGGATAGAAAGTGAAATGTCTTTCTCAAAAGTTTCTTTCAAGTTACCATGGTTTCAACAAACCTGGGAACACGGGACTTCCCTTTGTATTTTTTCCTGTGGATGGAACATGATATTACATCTGAAAGGTAATTTTTTTTAAATTTTTGTTAGAAGTCCATCTTTGGATTTGCTATCGCCATTCTGAATCTCACGTGACAGAATAGTGATCACGGCCACCATTTTAAGCTGATTTGGCATCCTGTGGTGCGAGACACTGGGTTGAGAAACCCCGATGAGACAGCTGGTTGGAGACTCACAGACTGTGGCAGAGTGGCCCACACATTCTCCGAGATCGCAGACTGGACAGATTAGCTTAGCCTGCTAGGTCTGAGAAGAGGGAAGCGAGCAGTGAGGTAACGATGATGTAAAATGAATCATTGTCGTTTTCCAGTAGGAGGCAAGACAGCTACCATGCCCCGCCAGCCCGCCCTCCCACAAGCACACCCCTGTTGGGATATTGGCAAGTTGTCATGACGACAGGGATGTTCTGCTGATGAAGTCTCGCGCAGCGCTATCCAATCAGATCGTGCAGCTACAACCGCAGCGTGAACAGGGGAGGACGCACCTATTCCAGTTGCACAATGCTGAGAAAGGACAGGCGAAACCCAGGACCACCAACGGGAAATTGGCAATCCGGGGGACGCTGTCAATGGGCCGCCATGGTTCGACAATACACAGACAGCGGGGGTCGTGGATACAGGGGCTGCCAGGTAGGGGGTCTCCATCATGTCTGATGCTCTTTGAGCTGCATTTCTTTGCTGCTATCAATACAAAGTATGAATGCATTATTTATTTTCACTGTTGGCATGCAGTTTTTAAAGACTGTCATTCATACGGCTTATATGATGTTACGGGATGGTGGTCGTAGTTATTGGATTGTTCCAGGTGCACTTTAGCAAAATGACAAATCACTCCTGCAGGTGGTTTTAACAAATGTGCAACAACCACAATAATCCCTTCCTAAAGCAAGGGATTTTTTTTTTAAAAGGGGGGAAATGTCATGTGGCATTAACTTTAATGCAGTTTTATATTCATTTCACTGCAGGATGCAGATGAAGAGTAGTCGCGGCTAATATCCAGAAACTGCAGGTAGCAAAGTGAACGAAAAACTCTCGCAGTGTTAGTTTGATTCAGGCCTTTTATTTAAAACCCTGGGGAGGATTTTTCTTTCATTTGCTGCTGGCTGACCAAAGGAGAAGCCGGGGCTACGTGCAGTTCTATAAAAGATGGAGGGCTTGGTGGGGGCGCACTCTGGTTTTTTTCCTAGCACTGCAGGTAGCCATTACGGTCATCGTCCTCTACAGCTTATTATTATAGCCTATTGATTGTAGCTGTCTACAAATACTATTCTTTTCATTAACATTGGCCTCTTTATAAGATGATTATGATTTGCATTTATTTCTTTAAGCAGTTCATTTGAACAACAAACCCCTTCCCTCCATCCCTACCCCTCCCTTGCTCAGCTTCAGTCCCTCTGTCATGGGGTCTCTGTGGGACGCCATTCGAGAGGCTGACCCCCAATAGTGGTTGTGTTTGACTCTTCAAACTTGAAAATGAAATCTAATTTGTCAGCATGGAGAAGCCACCTCTATAATCTCCTGGTTGGATATTAGCAGATTTTAAAATGTTTCTCTTTACTTACAGATTTCTGAAAATGATGGGAAGTGGAATGATCAGCAGGATCAGCCATCACTAGATGGTTTGGTCAAAAGACTGGTCAATCACTGGTTTCTTGTATGACCAGTTTAAGACCAGTTCTATTAGATAGTATAATATGTTGATATATATTTCATACTGGAATATGATATTTTTCATTTTTCATTTTTGCATAATATTTTTCATGTTGTTGTCTATTTTGTGGGGGGAGTTTTCCTCAATGCAGGGACATTAAAATGTCATTGTGGGCCTCACTGAAAGGTGGGCAGACAAAAATGTCTTATGCCTACTGGTTATTTTGTTTACACGTAGGCCCTATTGAAATTTCAACCACTAACAAAGAGATAAACCAGGAGAGAAATTATATTTTTACAGTGTTTAATAGTAATGGGCTGTGTTACATGCTAATATTGAGCCAGTCATAGTTTCTAAAGCCCCTATTTCTGCTTACTGCAGGTGAAATTCTGATTCCCTAGTCATAGTGAAACCAGGCTTAATGTAAGACACAGACAGTGTCACTCTTTCCTCCACCTCAGCATTTTTATCCAAAATAAGGAAAAAATAATTTCTCCTTTCATGAAAGAATATTTCATAAGTGGTGCTAAGCCAGGTTGATGATGGGAAACTGGATTTAGGCAAAGATGCCAAAAGCAGCTCATCGCTACAAGCTGATTGCTTGACTATTAAGTCAGGCATTTATTTATTTTACCTTCATGCAACCCCAAGCCAACTACAATCCAAGCTAATGGCTTCTAAGATGGAAATATTGGGATCAACTGCTGATTGTAAAGCTGAGAATTTTCACGGGCTGAGACTCAAAATAGACATTTTATAAAGTAGACTTGTTTAGAGGAGTCCAATAGTATTATTGTTTTGATGGAATTTAAATGTTTAGAGATCATCTATGTTTAACATCTCCCATCATAAGCCTACAAGTGTGGACATTGTTTTGCTGGAGAATCGTTTGTTTACATTTGAAACCAGCTAACCCAGTGAAAAGTTGCTTGTTCACAGTCACTTCCAAGTTGGAAGGGAAGGGGTTTTCCCATTGCTTGAAATTACACACCACAAATGTTCTGGAGAGTTTGCGGACAATGATGTCAAATTGTTGCAGTATGAGAGGGTTTGTAGCAGGGAAACCACTGAAGTGAGATGATTGCTGTTCTTATGATGCAAAATTAGTAACATTTTGGTGACTGGGGTCAGATGTGGTGAGCTCTGCACCATCCTGTTTACATTCTGACCTTGAGGCCTGGGGAGATGTTGCATTGATGAGCATTGTGCTGATGGTGAATGGTGCACACAATTCGAAGAATCAAAGACATGTTGACATGCAGAATTAGTCCTTTCTTAAATATGTTGTTTTCGATTCCTGTTTTTGTGCTTACCATTTTCCAAAGATCCAAAGTGTTGTAACATCTGCCATGATCAAGATGTCAGAGAACCCGCAAAGGCCCATGGGAAACTCAATGCAACCTGCTTGGAATGCATTTATTGCATGATGTAATGGACTCCTGCTGTTGTCCTGATAAATCACAATTTGAAACATCCAAAGAAAGAGGGATAATAGGCTGATGTTTCATGGACTGAATCAATCACCAGCGACACATGTGTCAGTAAATGTCATCTTGAGGTTGATTGGACCACCCAGATGTTGCCCATTAAAAGCCATGCGGTTTCCATTGAAGAAGTTCCAGGGTTTCACCCCAAAGACCGTTCCCCCTGCCCACCAACCCCACAGATCCAGAGCCTGTGATCTATGACTGGGGTCCCCTTCCGCAAATTGCTGTGTTTGAAAAGAACCCGAGCATGGACGAAAGAGAAACAAGGCCCCAGACTGCTCTGGAGGAAAATTTCATTCCTATCAGTAAGCCTGCATTCCTCCCAAGTAGAAAAAACCATGTGATGACAGTTGTACAGCACTTCACGTTTCACTCAGACTCCAGGCTAGAAATGACTATGATGACCATGTGAAGATGGGGGGAGCAGTTGACGTGAATTAATTGCCCATCACTTGTCGGTGCAGTGTAGAAAAACTAGCACTGTGCAGCTGTCTCTCTGAGAAGCTGTCAGCCAAGGACAATGAATGCATCCTATTTCTTCCCCACCTTTCTACATCTGATTTAATAGAGAAAGACATGGACCACAGACTGAGCTGTGAGAGTGGGTACAGCAGAAATGTGGTCAGGATGTAAACACACAGACATGAAGAGGAAGAGAGGCATTACAAACAGTTTTGATCTCCTCTGGGCTGTCCAGACGGGCTGACAGGGGAGGAGGGGCAGTGATTTGGGCTCCTTTTATTCACTCCACGGTCAAACTACCTCTCTCTTGCCAGCAGCGTTGTCATTTGGGCTGTCCGGATTGAACAACAGAAAGTCCAGCATTGATAGAAACAGTACAATGAAGCAAAAGATGGACAAACAGGCAGACAAATGCACCTGGAGGCTGAAGTCTGGGAAAACAGCTGAGACCCATCAATTTGTTAACAGCACAATTTTCAATACAGTCATAGTGTAACCCCTCCCATCGTCCTAACTCAGTCCCTGTCTGTTTTGTCTCTCTCCATTGTTCATTATTTTTAGGGCGATGAAAGAGAAGCTAAACTAATTTGTTCATTCAGAATGGTCAAAGGAGAACCCAAACTACCTTTAATGCCTCACAAATCAAATTGAATCCTTATTATCATTTATTTTTTCAGAAAAATCAAAAGCCTGTTTTAATTCCGGTGAAATTGAGTTTCATTTATCTTTATCCAGTCGTAATATTATCCTCTTTGTTCATATCCTATTGGTCTTGGAACAAGTAGGGATAGGCAGATCATGAGATAATGATGCTGGGTCTTTCTTCCAGTGATGAGGATGACACGGTCTAAAGATGAAGCACCGTCCTCCCCAGCCAATTTAGACAGGAGAATTAAAGGTCTCACATAGCTAGAAAGTGAATCACGTCCTTCAAGTTAATGTGTGACATCTAATATCATTTGTGGCTGAAAGGCAGATGTCTCTGCTAAAATAGAGTAACTGTATGTCTGCAGGAGGAATGTGACCGATCAGTTAAATCTCATCCTCTTTAAAGCATTAATGAGTAAAAAAAGGAAAAGACGATGGTGCAGTGTGATTTGAATCCATTCTCATTATTGTCTGGAGTCAAGCTATGAAACGGTTTGAATGATTTACTTTTAGTTATAGCTACTACATCATAGATATATATACAGATATAGATCAAATCTAAGTGTTTTAATATTTAATGATTCCAATTCCCAAATTCCCAAAACACATTCATGCACCAGCATCATAAAACAAGGTTTCAACATGTAGAGTAGAGCAAGTTGTTTTGGCAAATGTTTAGATGATAAAACGCTGAAAATATGTCTATTTTGTTTAGATCACTGGATAGTAAACTTTATAAAGCTCCTATTCATTGGTCAAAAAACCCACTAACACGCACTACCATCTGGCTTTTGTCTGCAATGAGAATGGACTCTGAATCTCAAATGACCCTGCAGTATACACAGGTTTTAAACAGCTCCGATCAGATGATGGAAACGAGAGATCTGGATGATTGGCTAATTTGGCAAGATGAGTTGAGAGAGCAAATCAGTTTTTGGTGCGTTTGTGACATCAAACACGATACACTGGGGAAAAGACAGAAAGACAAAGTCCTATATTGGCGAAAGCAATCTATTGACCTTTTTTAGGAGGTTTACCCTCATCTAAAAAACCTGATACACC